TTTTTTGTTCGGATTCACGCGCATTTGGGCAGCAATGCGTCTTCAGGTCGTTCATATATTTGCGAACGCCTCTTGTTACAGGCGCAGCCCGCGGTTCGGAAACGAGCACTACTTTCCTTAACACCAATACATCGAAGATGGAGGCCGCGAGACGCTGGTGGAGGTGGCCCTCGACGTCTGCCCTCGAGGCCCAATTAATTGCCTCAATGGCGCCCGATGTTTTGGGAATGAATGCATTTGAGCTCATTCGTTTTCGGGCTTCGGTCGTCCCTGGGTCCTCCAGGAATTTCCTGCGCAAGCTTTCTTGGGCCGTTGCGCCCGACGTACTGGGTTATTCAGTCGCTTCGCTCACTCCGCCGGCCCATGTTGCATGATCGCTACTGCTTCGCCGTGGGCCAGGGGCCATTGTGGCGCCGCCGTGGAGGAGGAGAAAGATGAGGATGGGGAGGGGAGGGGAGGAGGAGGAGAGGATGAAAAGGAGAGGAGGAGGAGGAAGATAAGTAGGAGGAGGAGGAGGAGGAGGAGAAGGGGAAGGGGCGGAGGAGGAAGCCTCTCGTTGGCATCGTGTGTTGCTCTTCGGGCCAAACAGGGTCGTCGTCAAGATGCTTCTTTGGGAGGCCTGTTGGGGTCTTTTGAGAAGCCGCTCGGGGGCGCCAGGGAGGCAATTTTGAATTTCTGGAGCCTCTTGGGGCCTCTTTGGGGCCTCCTGGGGGCCTCCTGGAGCCTCTTGGGGGCCTCTTGGCGGCATCTTGGGGCCTCTTGGTGACGTTTTGGGAGCCTATCGGGGCCTCCTGGGGCCCTCTTGCGGGGGAAGCTCGAGTTTTCTGTTCGTGGTCCCCCTCTTGGGCCCGTCTTGGGGCCGTCTTGGGGCCGTCTTGGGCCGTCTTGGGCGCTTCTTGGGCCGTCTATGGGCCCTCTTGGGGCCCTCTTGGAAGCCTCTTGGCCCGTCTTGGGGCGCTCTTGGGGGCCTCTTGGGCCGTCTTGGAGCATCGGATGGCCGAAAAGGCGACAAGGCCAAAGCCCTTCCAAAACCATCGTAAAATTTATGATTTTGGCCGGTCGGGCCCTCTTGTGAGGCCTCTTGGAGGCCACTTGGAGGCCTCTTGGGCCGTCTTGGGTCATCATCGGCGTCTTGGAGCGCTCTTTGGGCGTCTCGGGGGCCTCTTGGACCGTCTGGGGGACCTCTTAGCCCTCTTGGACCGATTTGGAGCTCTCTGGGGCTCCGAAAAAGAGTTCCGGCATCCTTGAACAGGACTTGCCGGGAGTTTGCCGGAGTAATTTCCGTCCGGGGACCCCCAGGGCCCGCCCCGCGCGCGCGAACTAGAAAGATTGTTTACCAGCTACCGGAGATCTTAGCACGCCTCTGGCCCGTTGGGCCGGCGAATTGTTTTTGCGCCTTTCGGGTCAGCAAAGCGCAACGGAGCGCAGCGTTGTTTTCCCTGTCCCCGACTTTCAAGGGAGGCGTCCAGGGGGACATCTAGCGCGCTTCTCTGTTGCTAGTGGCTCAAGGTGTGCACGCCATGTTTGGCCACCGATACGCTGTTGTTGCCACTTGAGACGAAAAGGTTAGGCCACCCAGATCTGCACCCATTACATTATCCCTTCGTATTAACAGTATACAAGGCAGCAGCGTACTATGTGGCATGATACCAGAGAGAAAACCCAATCAGGGCTACAGGGCTAGGGGGCTATTGAGCTATAGGACTATGGAGCTATAGGGCTATAGAGCTGTAGGGCTATAGGTCTATAGGGCTATTGGGCTACAGGGCTATAGGGCTGTAGGGCTATAGGGCACCCCCGGGCAGCCCCGGGCACGCCCGGGCACTCGGGCACCACCGGGCACCCGGGCACCCGGGCGTGCAGCGAAAATCGGCGGCAAACCTAACCTAACCATATGAATCCGCTAGGACCCCTCCAGAGGCAAGTTCTAATTGGGGAATTTCAGCGTTGAAATCGGCTCCCCTTAAGCCATCTTGGAAGCCATCGGGCAAAAAAGGAGGGGTACTCAAGTAGTGCCTCCCCGTCTTGGCCCGAAAAATGGCTTCCTGGAGCAATATTGGGCCGCGATTTGGCGCTGTTGGGGCCGTCTTGGGGCCATCCTGGACTATCTTGGGGCCGTTTGGGCTTCAAGAGCCCATCGGAAGCGAAAACAATTCGAGAAGGCCAAAAACACTGAACAACATCATGGTGTTCAATGATTCTAGGCTTCTTGGAGACCTCCTTGGGGGGCTCGGACGGCAGTTGGGGCCGTCCTGGGGCGATATTGAGGAGTCTCGGAGGCACGTCGGAAACTGTATTGGGTCGTCCTGCCACCGCGTTTGGGTTGCGAGTCGCAGTCTTCAGGGATGTTTCTTCGGGTCTCTTCGGAGCGCTTTCGGGGGCATTTTGGGAACAGTTCGCGGGCCTCTTGGGAGTTTCACGGGGGCCTCTTTAAGGCCGTTTGGGGCCTCTTGCGGACCTCTTGGGGCCTCTTGGGGGCCCTTCGGGGGCCTCGAGGGGGCCCTTTGGGAGCTTGTTGGGGGCCCTTCGGGGCCGAGTGCTCGAAATGTCCAGTCGGGTTCCCCATCTGGAAGCCCCTTCTTGGGGCCGTCTTTGGGCCCTCTTGGGCCATTTTGGGTGCATCTTTGGCCGTCTTGGAGTCATTTTGGGCAGTCTTGGGGCCCGCTCGGAGGCCTTTGGAGCCGTTTGGGGGCGATCTTGGGAGCCTCCTGGGCCGTCGTGGAGCGTCGGGAAGCCGAAAAGCGCGAACGCCAAAATGCTTAAGTTAATGAATTCTGCCTCTTGGAATCCTTTTCGCTGTCTTTTGGAGGCGTCTTGGAGGGATTTTTCGGTGACGCTGAGGCTTCTTGTGCCCTCCTGGAGCCTTTGGGGGGCCTGGTGCGCCTATTTGGGGGCCTCGTTGGGTGGGGTCACCGTCCCAGAAGCCCACGCGACACATCCCAGTAACGCCCAACAGGGCCCGGCGGCGCCTGGGAAACCAGGGGTCTGGGCCCTTTAAAGAACCGTTAAACCCACTGGAACCTTTCAGGGCTGCACGAAGTTTGGGGCACTCCACAGCATGCCGAAGGCGCTGAAGGCACGGTGGCGGATATTGAGCGATCTTGGAGGCCATCTCGTGCTCTTTGGGGCCCTATGGGAAACAGTGGGTGCCAAAAATGGCCCTCTGACACCTCGCGGGGTGGGCAGACCCACGGACGGGCAGGGGGAGGGGGAACCCCTTCTTCGAAGGGGAGGAGGGGTTAGCAGAACGAGCTCCCTAGTCGTCCAGAAAGCTGGTGGGTTTCTGAGCATAGGGAGAATAAATTGCGTGGAAGTCTCAAGCGGAACGCCCGGGCCAGCCTACGGACACGCGTGGTGTGGTGAGCGACAGGGAGGAGGTATGCTGTAAGGAAAAGAGGATGGAGGAGGAAGAAGAGAAAGAAGACGAAGAAGAAGAAGAAGAAGAAGACGAGGCTTCTTGGGCTCTCCTGGGGTCTTTTGGGGGCCCCGTGGGAGCCTCTGAGGGGCTTATTGGTAACCTTTTGGGAGCCTCCAGGAGCCTCTCAGGCTGGCCTTTTGGCCTTCGGAAGCCGTCTTGGGGGCGCACTGGGACGTCTTAGGGTCTTATGGGGGCAATTAAGAGCCGTTTGAGACGTCTCTGGGTCCGTCTTGGCGCCCTCTTGTTGTCGTTGTTGTGCCCTCTTCGGGGCTTCTGGGGCCGTCCTGGGGCTATCTTGTATGCCCCTCTGTGCCAGATTTGGCTGTTGGAAGCTCGAAAAGGCGAGATTGCGAAAATCTTGCGAAAACCTCCGGAAGCAAATGAGTTCGGCATCTCCGGACTTTTCCAGAGGGCCTCTCTTGGGTGGTCTTGAGGCGGTGGTTTGGAGCCGTTTTGAGGTCATGTTGGGCCGTCTTTGAAGCGGTTTTGCCCACCTTGGAGGCCATTTTGGACCGTGTAGGGCCGTCTTGGAGGCCATCTTGAGCGCCTTGGAGGCAGAGGAAGGCGAAGGCACTTTCTGTTTTTTCGATTGACTGGTTGGATGGGCCAAGATCCCATTTGAATTTGTTTGGGAGGGCCAGGGAGGGTCATCAAGAGCTCGAAAAAATTGGCACGCCAAGCACCCTTTTGCAAGCAAAGGGGGGCGGCGGACCCAAGACGCCTACGGCGAACCACCGCCACTCTGCCTCCATGGAAACGCCCATGAGGCCAAACGCTGGGCCAAAGTAAGCTATTGGACGATGTGTTCCCCCAGCCGTTGGGGAATCCTTTCGGTGGAACACTTGGGGGAGGAAAGGACAGAGGAGGAGGAGGAGGAGGAGGAGGAGGAGGAGGAGAAGCAGGAGGAGGGAGGAGGAGGAGGGGAAGGAGGATTTTGATTAAGAGGAAGTCTTTGGAAAACCTCTTTGGACTTCTTGGGGCCTCCTGGTGGCTTCATGGGGGCCCCTTGGGGGCCTCTGAGGTGCCTATTCGGAGCCTCCCGGGACCTCTTGTGAGCCATTCGGGGGCCACGAAGCGTGTGAGGGGTGTGCCGGAACCGGCGGGGGCGGCGCCGCCATGCAGTCGCGCTCGTCGAGATCGCAGGTTGAATTCCCTACGGACCAGGAACCTTGTGGGAGGTGTGCCGAAATGGGCGCGGCGCCGCCATGCGGTCGCGTTCATTGACACGGTAGGTGGAACTCATTGCGGGGCCAAGAAACGTGTGAGAGTTGTGCCGAAATGGGAGCGATGCCGCCATGTGGTCGCTCCTTGTGAGACTGTAGGTGGACGAATCGAGAGAGAGGTGTGCGGGAATGGGCATGAGGTGTACAGAGGCAGGAGGGGGTGAGGAGGAGAAGGAGGATAAGCGCGTGCTGCTCATATCACACAGCATGGTTGGGAGCAGCAGTTCATGCGGGGCGCCTCGAGAGTCACGCGGCACGCCTTCAGAAATCCGCGAGTTGGGGGTTGGGAGTAATCAGAACATTCTGCACAGAGAACTCGAAGGGACCTGAGGCCACTTCACTCAGTGCCTACGGCATAGTGGCGGATTTCAACCGTGCAAGTGAAGTTTGGTCCAGCGAGGGTTGCTCCGTAGTGGAGGTCAACGGCACCATGCTTCTGTGCGCGTGCAGCCACATTTCTGTTTTTGCCTCTGCCCTCGGCAGCCCATCGTTACCGGAGGACGTCTTGTGCCCCAACGTGGCTATCCTCTCACCTGCAGGCTTCGAAAAGCTGGGCCAGGGCCAGTGGGTGCAGCAGAGGGGCGGGATCGCGCTCTGGACGCTTCTGACAGTGCACTTGGTCATCGTCCTGATGGCCTGCTGGTCCCAGGGCTCTTGGAAGGCCAAGCCGAGCTTCTTCATGTACACCGACGACTACCGATCTTGTTCGAGGAAGGTCATGTTCAAGAAAGTCATGAGCGCGGGACGGAAGAGCGGCAAGTCCAAAGTGAGGAGTATGTGCATTGTTGTATTAAACGTCGTCTTAAACCTCCAGTTGGATTATGGCTATGAAGAGCTCTGTCAAAAGGGCATATTCGACATAATTCGAACGCTTATATTTTACAAGTTGATGATGCTGTGGGTCACTGCCACTATGGGTTTCTCTGAGCTAGACTCGCGGTATCTTCGTTACGGCAACGTGGCAAACCTCACGAAAGCCCGGTCAGATGATGGCCCCATCACACCCACTACGGCGATATTGGTCGGGGCAGGTCACGAAACAAATAACAGTAGCTTACAGAGTATGAACGGCGAAGGTGCAAGTCAAGGCGAAAAAAGACTAAACAAGCACACAGAGCGCACCGCCAACGGCAACGTCAAGGAAGCCTGGACAGATGTCGCCGGCGACAACGGGGGAGATCAGGAGCATTGATAGGGGGGGATAGGCTCAGCGGTACACACGGACCCCTAATCGCACACTCATCGCCGATGGGGGCTCGATAGCCCGCCCCGCCCAGGAATATGCGGGTTCGCAATCGGGGCCTATCGCCGATCTGTCCGCAATGTATCGCCGATTCCAGGTCGATGCTCCGAGGACGACGATCACCTCTGGTGAGCGTGGACGTCTTCCTGGCTCGGACGACGACGACGAGGACGAAACGAGGACAAGGACGAGCGGACGACGGCGACGAGCACGACGATGCATCGCCGATTCCAGGTCGGTGTTCCTCCTTCTCCTTGGCATCGCTCGGACGTGTGCATTTTTTTCTCGGCGAGGACCTTCGAGGAGCATCCTTGATCATTTGGCGAAAAAAACACGCACGAAGCCCGAAAAAGCACAGGGAATGGACGTCCGAGCGATGGCCAGTCTCGTGAACCCTCAGGCGACAGCGGCGCAGGGCGCAGCACCGTCCGCCGTCGCCTGAGCCGGGACGGCCCCCCGGAGCTGAGGCGGGCGCACGGCGCCGCCTCGGGGACCTCCGCCGCGCGAGGGCCGCCCAGGAGCACGGGCACCAAGCAGCGTCACGAGTGGGTGAAGGCTTCGGACAGCGGCCTCACCGACGAGTTCGTGGCCATCCTCAAGGACAAGAGCCGACTGCTCCAGCGCCGTCGGAATCAAGTGGCCGTCGAGCCTGACCCGTTCGAGATAATGACGGCGTCCACGGCAGCGAAAGAGGCGATCAAGTTCTCTAGGGAGGCGGTGCTTCTCTTCAGGGCGATCCACCCGCTCTTCAAGCTCTGGCTTGAAAGCATGACCACGCCCTGGATCTTCCAGGTCTTGGCATTGCTTGATGCCGTGTTCGGCTTTCTCATGTTTTCGGCAGCCTTCTACGGAACCACCGCTTGCCCCAACATCCCAGAGTGCGCGGGGCCAGACGATTCGTTCGGGAATATCACCCGAGACGTGCTCGTGTCTTTGGGCTGCACAGTCGTTGGGCTTGCTCCTCTCGTGATACTGTCCCGGCGAGACCGCAGGATGGCGCGGTTCAGCACAGAGCGCAGGGTGCGGATATTGTTCTGGGTGTGGTTATTGAAGGACGTCGTTTGCACAGCGGGCGGGCTTGCTTGGTTCGCTTTCTGCGTTTTGTATATCATGATGTTCCTGGCTAACGTTAGCCAGAAGGATGCAGACCACTGGCTGATCAGCTTGGTTATCCGCTTTGTATGTACATGGTTTCTGTTACCACTTGTCGCAACCATCCTGTGGATTGCAATCATGAGACTATATTTTAGCTTTAGCGGGGGACGCTTCATCGAAAACAACACCAGCGGGATTTTGAGAGCACTCAATCGCGGCGGCGTTACCAGGGCTTTGGAGCCTGCGCCGGACGAGCCGCCGAAGAGCATTCTACCCACAGCCCGTGCCTTTGTGGATCCTATGCCGCTTGTGTACCAGGAGATCAACGATGAGGACGACATGTCGCCGATTGCGGGCGGCGATGCAGGCGGAGGCGTCGTCCCGCCGCTGGTGCGGGCGCCCCTTGCGGAGACCCTCGACATGATTGAGGAGGCCTCCGAGAGCGAGGATCATTTCCGGTCGTGGATCGGCCAGCATGTGCGGAACCCGCAGGCGGCCAGCTTGCAGGCCGTAGCCAGCGAGCTTCCACCGCACTTGGCTGCAAAGGACACCGGGCTGGCCGACCAGCTGGTGCGACCGATGGAGCCCGGCCAACGCAGGGCGAGCACGTCCTTGGCCCAGATCGAACTGGAGCGTCCCCGGCGCAGGTCGAGCAGGCCCCTGACGCAGATTGAGAAGCTGAGCACCCTGTCGCCGCAGATGCGGTGGACAGCGACGGTGGACGCCACGCACTCCTGGGTGGACGCCGCGCACTCCTGGGCTCCGCGCGAGCTGACGTCAGAGGCCCCCGCGGAGGCCGTGCTCCCAGGCATGCCGCCGCCTGGGTCCTAGCCCACTGGCGAGCCAGAGCTGTTTCTTGGGATCCATCTAAGAACAGGGGTAACGATAGGGGGGGATAGGCATAGGGGGGGAAGTATCGACCCCCAATCGCCCATTGATCGCCAATAGGGGCCTGATAGCCCCAACCTGCCTAGGAAGGTGCGGATTCACTATCGGAGGCCTATCGCCGATCTATCGGCGATGTATCGCCAATTCCAGGTCGGTGCTTCCCTCCCTATCCCTATCCCCCCCTACCGTTGCCCCTCACAAGAACAGCGGCCACAAGCGGTCTTTGTGGATCTGGTCGTTGTCTTGTGACTCGGACCGGAGCAGGTTCTGACAACGGCTACCGAGCAATTCGTCGTTGTCCCCAACGAGGAGCCATTTGCTCCAACGCGTGTTCCCAATTTGTTTCACGCATGTCCGATATTCCCGCGTTGTATTAGTTTCACAGGTGTCTTGCGTTTCACAATTCTGGGAGAGCATTTTCAGGTGCCATCGATGTCGCCTATAGTTGAATTGGGCCTCCCTCGGCATGCATTGCGCAGGCCAGGCTGTGCTAAGCGTCTGTATCGGGACCGCCTGTCTTGCACCCGCGAGCTGTTCATTGGTTAGTTCCCTCTGTCATTTTCCACGCATGGCTCGACTGTGTGTTCATCTGCGCGCGCTCTGTGTACGCTGTGTGCGGATCCTCGCCTATTTAGACAGTTGGGTGTACTGTAATTTCGTGGGGCTGGACAAGAAGAGCTAAAAATCGGCGACTCCCTGACTCCGCTGCTCGACCCCTCACAAGCGATATATTGTTTCTCTCGTCCACATCCATGTCCGAGTTCCCTCCCCCAGCCCGCTCGACGACATGCCAACGCTGACCAATGCGCAAAGCATTGTGCTCAACACTGCGTAGTTTGCTTGATGTGCAACGTCGCTGGCTCTAGCTGTGTCTGGTCTGGTCTCTGGATTTCATTGCAATGGTAGGCGTCGGTCGTTCTCCGGTGTTCCCAGGGCCCGAACTGATTATCAGGCCCACTGCACACAGCATGAACAGATGTCCGATCGGAAGCCCGAGTGACGCACGCCTCACTCGCAGGGGCGGCACGTCAAATACCAAAACAGGCCAGCCATGACACACGGCGGTGGCCATCAAAGCACTTCCATCCTTCAGTCAGCGTTCCTCGTGGGGATTACTATGCAGCCCAGGAAGAATAATGGCATACCCATCGACTTTCGGAGGTCCGCTCAGATTTCTTGCATCGGCGCTGAACCCCCTCCCTGACGCGCACGGAGCGCGCCAGGAGCTGCGCTGGAGGCGTGGAGGCGCCATCAAGGGGACCAGCCCAACGCCGATCAGAGAAGTACCCGCGCGGACTTCGAAAGTCAGTGTTTGTGGCGCACTCCTTCTTTTACGTAAGGGCTTCAGCCGCCGCCTTGCCCATCACCTTTCAGGTTGCGATGCCTCTTGCTCTGACCTGGCTGGTGGGCCTCCCCCTCCCGCCTCCTTCATTTCCCCCCCTTCCAAATCCTCCTCCTCCTCCTCCCCTCCCTCCTCTCCACAATTATTCAATATGAATACTACTCTCCCTCTTCCCCTGATGACGTCTTGGGAGTAGCCGCCCCCCCCCACGTATTGTTTTTTTACACACAGGTTTCCCCGGAGTTGGTGTTCGCTTGCATTTTTTTCAAAATGCTGCTCTCGCTGAGGCGCCGGCCTCATTTTCGGGCCCCACTCGTTCCGAATCGTGCTCCCGCTGCAGCGCTGGCATCATTTCCGCCGGCGCCCGGGCTGCACGCCCGAGCCGGCACCCGGGCCGGCGCCCGGGCCGGATCCGGAGCAGGTTCCGGCCGGCGCTGGAAAATCGAGTTCCGAGGCGGCGCCGAAAAAAGGCCATTCTAATGCACATTTTTCTTCTGAAAATGCTGAATGTCTGCTTCTGGCGCCCGGAGGCCTCCCGGGCCGATTCCAACGCCCGGGCCGGCGCCCGAGCCGACGCCTGGGCCGGACGCCCGAGCCGGCGCCCGGGCCGGCGCCCGGGCTGGATCCGGAGTCGGTTCCGGCCTTTTGATGGGTGTGAAGTTATAAGTAGTTATAGTATAGGTAAGTGGTTCTATTTTAGGAGAGGTTTGGATGAGTTAGGATTGGTTAGGAGGCCCAATAGGTTCCATAGGAATGCCGATAGTGTAGTCCCCGATAGTCCCCCCTGTGTTTCACTATAGGATCTATAGGAGCTTACAGTGTCCTATCATCAGCTGAATTTGGAATCCCTATACCTATGCATTTTTCACTATTTTTACTATTTTTCATTTTTGTTTTAACTATTTTTAGCATTTTTCGATATTTTCACTATCTATCATCATTTTCCAATTATTTTCACTATTTTTCACTATTTTTCAATATGTTTTACTTTTTCTTTATTTTTCAAAATTCAGACATTGAAACAAGTCTGACCGACGCCAGAACGTTGTGCTCCAAGGGAGAAGAAGGAGAAGGAGGAGGGAGGAGGAGGTGTTCACCTCCTCCTCCTCCTCCTCCTCCTCCTCCTCCTCCTCCTCTTCCTCGTCCGCCTCCTCCTCCTCCTCCTCCTCATCTTCCTCCTCCTCCTCCTCCTCCTCTGCCCCCTCCTCCCCTTCCTCCTCGGCGCCCCTCTTGGGGCCTCGGCACCCCCGTGGTGCTGGCCCTCCTGGGCCTCGGCACCCCCAAATCCGAAGCTCCGAAGCTCCTCCCATTCCTCTTCCTCCTCCTCCTCTTCCTCCCCTTTCTCCTCCTCCTACCCCTCCTCCTTTATCCTCTTTCCCCTCCTCCTCCCCCTCCTCCTCCTCCCCCTTTGGCTCAAGGGATGGTTCAAGGGGCCTGAGGTTGGTTTGGTTCAAGCCACACCGGTACCGTATACTCCCGGCCTGTCGTACTTGGGTTGGTCAGCGTGTGACTCAAGTTCGGTGCCTCCCCTGTGGGTTGCTTAGTGACTCATATTTGGGTTTTGACAGTTCTTGTAAGTGGTCCCTCTGGATGGTGCGGGCCCGACTGGAGCATCAATTCGATCATGCATACTCGTCTTATTGTTTCTCAGCTCCTCCCTCCTCCTCCTGGAAAAGGAAGATGCGTAGATTTCGATTGGTTGCGTTTCGACAAGCTCAATTTGACTTCGGCACAGTGGGTTTTCAGTCAGGCGACAAACCATTTGACATCTATGATTCTTTGAACAAATATAACATTATCTTGGGTTCTCCTTCAGTAGATGTGGGTTCTCCTTACGTGGGTTATCCTTCAGCAGATGTGGGTTACCCTTCATCTTATGTGGGACTTGCTTCAACAGATATGGGTTCTTCTTCAGCAGACGTGGGAATGGACACATCTTCGGCGAAAGGGGGTCTCTCTTCAGCGGACGTGGGACCTTCCACTACAGATGTGGGCTCTGTTTCAGTGCCGGTGGGTTTTTCTTCTCCCTTTTTGGGTTGTCCTTCAGCAGATGAGGGTTCTCCTTCAGCAGACACTGGACTTTCTGCAGCAGCGGTGGGCTTTTCTTGTGTCTTACTTCCGAATGAGGGGGAAGGGGACGGGATGAGCAGGAAGGAGGAGGATGAAAAGGAAAAGCGGGGCCATGGGTTGGCCGGTGCCTCTTCTACGTGTCATACACTTCGCAAGTGTCCGGATGAGTTCTCCATTGGGGCGGGCGTCCATATTCACAGTCTTACCTGTGCCGCAGGGAGGAACCTGAATGGACTGAGCGGCCACATATGCACTTGGGACGTCGCTTCAGGGCGGTGGGGCGTTCGAGTTTTGGGATTTCCAGATGTCAAGTTAATCAAAGAGTGTAACTTACGTCAAGGATCTAGACGCTACACGGGTAATCTTCGTCCTCGTCCTCCTTCAGCAGATGTGGGTTCTCCTTCAGCATATGTTGGTTCTCTCTCAGCAACTGGGTGTTCTCCTTCAGCAGACGTGGGTTGTCCTTCAGCGGATAGGTGTTCCTCCCTAGCATATGTGGGACTTTCTACCGCAGCTGCGGATTCTTCTGGTGTCAAAGTTGCTCCTACGATGGACGGCAGTTTTTCGAACGTGGGAGGGAGCGGGAGGAGGAGGAAGGAGGAGGACGACGAGGAAAAGTGTGGCCAGCATGGTGCTGTCTTGGGTTGCAGCGACAATTGCTCACGTCCCAACAGCTGCGTTTCTTTACCCAATGATCCCGCGTTGTCAGAAGCCCATGCCGCACCTGTCTCTGTATCTCCACAATTAGTTCCCGGACCGCCTAAAGTCAGGGCTGCGTCTGTCCCCGGCGACGCTGTGGACTCCCAGCCTCCTCCTTTGTCCCGCGTAAGGGAAGTTTCGGTTGGACATTTCCGGCAATTTCTCATGGTCAGTGTGGCAGAAACTCATCCGATGGGTCCCGAGGTCGATTTGTTGTTCAGTATGGGGGACGTTGGGGACATGATGCAAAGATTCGCCGAAAGAGAAGTGGACAGGTTCTATGGGCACCTCGCGACTTTGGATAGTGAGCTGAAGACGTTGCTGCCGCCCAGGAGGGGCGATTCGACTCAGCTCTATTCGGTCTATATATCGAACATGAGCGAAATACTTGTTGCAATGGCGGGGGGTATCATGGAATTTTTCGGGCACGACAAGGAGAAAATCCACACTGTGTGCAAAGCAATTCGGACGGATGCCGATGCTTGTGCAGATCACATTTGTACGAATATGATATATGATTTCACTCACCGCGATTATATGCAAACCGTGGCCGACCAAATGGAGACATGGGTTGATCAGTTTGGGATTCACATACCAGGCTGTTTCGTCCGGCGACGGGACGGTGTGGACAGATGGTATTCCCATTTTGTTCCTTAGGCTGTGGGTTTGCCCTCTTTAATTTGGTTTTTAGTTTACAAGACGGCCGTTTTCTGTTAAGTATTTCTGCCTTCTGGGTTGTCACTGGGACGCAGGGATATTCATTTCACGTCTCGGACATGTCTGCACCTGGGACCTTGTCTTTCTTTGTTTCTTTGGGTTGTATTCCCTTGCT